AGGATGCTGTGGGACCTGCCCAGATATCCTCTTCAGGTCCCTTGCTCCTGCCTCCCTCAGTCTGCCCTCCAGGCAGCACCAACTCCCAGGAGCTAGCCGAGGACAATGGCTGACAGGACCTTTCAGGAACCTGGTCTGTTCACCAAAGTTCAGCTATCAGGAGCCATGGCAGCTCCATGCCTCCCTGTTGTTACCAATCAGTGGCCACTACTTCTTCCTTTTCCTGGTGCGGCCTCATTCCGTCCCCTGCAGACAGGTCTGCTGGAAGTCCCTGCACAACCGCTCTCTACGCACACTTCCACCCCTGGAAGCTCTGGATCCCTAGGAACCCAGTTCAGTGTGACTCTGGATTTCAGTGTTCTCTTTCACAGAAAGTCGGTCACACATGTCAACAGACAAGAAGATGACATGGCTTTGAGTTCCAATACTTTCCCTTCTCTTGCCCCATCTCTGTGGTACAAATGACCCTGAAATTACAAAGCATGACTTCCAGTCTGCTGCTCAGTAATGGATAGATAAGTGATAGTTACATAGATAGGTGATAAATAGATAGGTGATAGGCATCTAATTGATAGATAGGTAGATAGATAAGCAAATATGAGAACACAGATATTTGAAAGGAATAGAGTAAATGATCATACTTCTAAGTACCTAATACCCAATTCTCATTTTCAAGATGGATCTCTGAAAGGTAGCACCCTCCATCACTTGCCTTCCTACTATCTCCCATCCTCTCGTCAAGCTGAACATAATGTGTCAATCAGACACCACAACAGCAATTTGAACAAGAGACATATCTAAAGGATGATGAACTGAGGGGATGGGCTGCTGAAAAGAATACGGAGAACCCTAAAGAACCAAGAATGGCAACATAGGGAGCAGCCATTGCCTCCAGGCTGACATGGAGCATCCATAGAAGGGGAATTGGAAGATGCCCAGGGTACAGGCTGGTGCGCTGTATCCTTTGGTTTGAAAATCGAGAGGTAATCCAGGAATAGTGGCACATGTCTTTAATCCCAGCACCTGCAGAGGCAGGCACAGCTCCGTGAGGTCAGGCCAAGTTTGGTCTATCTAGCAAGTTCCAGGTCAGACAGGACTACGCAGTGAGAGACCTTGCCTATAACTAACTAACTAACTAACTAACTAACTAACTAAATAACTAAATAAATAAATAACTAAATAAATAAATAAATAAATAAATAAATATTATATATGTATTATACATTACATAATATATTAATTATATTGTTATCCCATAATACTTGTACTAATAATTAATAATAAACTATCACTAATAATCAATATGTTCATTCATTAAATTAATCAAATGATTAATTTTAATAATCGGGTATCAAGTATTAATTTATATAATTAATTCTATAGTTTGTATTATTACTATATAATCAAATTATTAATATTTCAGGTATATAATTTAGTCACTAATTAGATAATAAAATAGAAATAAAACTTAATGGTTAATAAGAAATATTATGTTAATAATTAATAATATATGAATAAATGGCATGTGTATAAATATACAGTTATTTAACTATAGAGTGAATATGCTATGAGGGCCTTCTCTACATCTTTGGGGAAAATGTTACTTCCTCTGGAGTAAGAACATTGTAACAAGGAAATGTAACACAAGGAGCGTTGTTTGTGGGACTCAGTTGCAGCTTCCCTGCTCATCCTCTCTTTGAGGCTGTCTCTCACTATTGAACAGCCTGACCCTTCTGTTGTCCCTCACTTAACTTTTCCCTGTTGACCCTCCTGGTTTCCAACTATCAACACAATTTATTTATTTTGTTTTTATCTGTCGCATATGAGCTCTCCGAAGGTCAGGATTTTTGCCTCTTTTGTTCACTGATTTTATCTCCTGCCTCTGGAACAGGACTGGGCTCATGCTAGGCACCATAGAAATATTTGTTGAATGAATGTGTGATCTACACGTAGGGGAGACTACACATGATAGCGTCTAAGACTGAACGCAGGGCTGAGTTACAGTGACTAGGAGGAACTCGGACCTTCAAGGCTGTGAGCCTCATGCCAAAGAAGGTGCTTTGGTTTCACAAGGATGGATGCTGTGGTTTCAGTAAAGGCCACCTCAAGACTCGTGCGCAGAAAGGTTTAGTCTCCAGTCTCGGCACTTTGAGAGTTCTCAGGACCTTTAGAAGGCAGAACTACCAGAAGGAAGTGGGGTGACTGGGGATTGTGCTTGAGGGGAATGTCCCAACCCTTTCCCCTCTCTCTTCACTTCCAAGGTAATACTAGCTGAAGAGCTTTCTCTGCCCTGTGCCACACAGTGTGAAGGGCTGAGCGACTATGGACCAAAACTTCTGAAAGCCAAACTAAGCTCGTCTTCCTTTTCAAAATTAACTTCCTCGAATATTGTGTCACGGTGATGGAGAGCTGATAAGACAATGCCCCTGTGCTCTCAGACCACAAAGCTTTCCTCGGACCTCTGGGTCAGAGGGGTAATTTCTTCTTTCCCACAGCCTTAAAGAAAACAAACCAACAAACGACAAGTGCTGTCGAGGATGTGAGGACAGGGGAACCTTACGTTCCTGGTGGGAGTGTGCGCTGGAATAGCCTCAGTGGAAGTCAGTGCGACAACCGGGAATGCAGCTCGGGGACACACCACTTGACCCCGCAAGCCTGCGGTTCCAGGCTCAATCCCCAGGAGTGGAAAAAAAAAGTACATCAAAGTGGAAGTTCCTCAAATGCAAACAACAACAAAACTAAAAATGAAACTGCCATGGAAGCCTGCTGACCCGCTCTGGGGTAGACGCTCAAGTGACTCTATGTCATCAGCCCCAGAGACACTCTCAGCCATGAAGGAAAATGAAAACGATGACATTTTCAGGAAAATAAAACTGAAAGTTATGATGTAAAGTGAAATTAGACAAGCTCAGAGAGACCAGTATTGCATGTTTTCTCTTGTTTGTGGCATCTAGACCTAAAAGTGTGTGTGTGTGTGTGTGTGTGTGTGTGTGTGTATGT